GAGTGAGAGAGAGCGAGAGGACTGAGTGAGAGAGAGAGAGAGAGGACTGAGTGAGAGAGAGAGAGAGCGGACTGAGTGAGAGAGAGGGAGAGAGCGGACTGAGCAAGAGGGAGAAACAGCGGATTGAGAGAGAGAGAGAGAGAGAGAGAGAGAGAGAGAGAGAGAGAGAGAGAGAGAGAGAGAGAGAGAGAGAGAGAGAGGACAGAGAGAGAGAGGGAGAGAGCGGACTGAGCAAGAGGGAGAAACAGCGGACTGAGAGAGAGAGAGAGAGAGAAAGAGAGAGAGAGAGAGAGAGAGAGAGAGTACATGAGTGCTGATGAGAAAAAGGGTGGATAATCAGAAACAAACACACACACACACACCTTATTATTCTGATAAAAGGGGTAAGTGAAGGCTGATGAACGAATCTGGTCAAAGCAGTGGATCAGGCACATTCACTAAGCAGCTGCAGAATTATTCAAATGGGGTATGCATGCTCTCATGGCTCATATCATGGGCCTTTCCATGTGTAACAACAGCAGGTGAGAAGGTGTAGAGAGAAGGTGGCTGATCAAGCAGTCTTCACCCATTGACAGTTCAAGGGCTCTTTCCCGATTGGCTGGTCAAGCAGCCTCCGTCCATTGGCAGTTCAAGGACTCTTCTCCCATTGGCTGGTCAAGCAGCCTCTGTCCATTGGCAGTTCAAGGACTCTTTCCCGATTGGCTGATCAAGAAGTCTATGTTCACTGGCAGATCAAAAATTTCCTCTATCAATGGCAGATCGACCGCTCATAGGCAATCAGGTATTCGCTGTTTATGGGCGGGCACTCATATAGTGCATTCTCTGTGTAAATTTCGTTCAAAGCAGGCCACTCTCTAATTGAGTCAAAGAGGGGCAGTATCCAAGTGTTTACACTGCGAATTATTCCCAAGTGTATGCACTACGAATTATTATTAATTCTTACTCGCGCAACCCTCTACTCTTCTCGTCCGACGGGCTCCCGTGCATTTCACTTCGTTGAATTGTCCTTCACTCACTTGTGGCCCAGGGCTGAGCCCAGATATCCGCCTTACGGGACATGCATGCTCATTTGGTTCTGGCTTAGTAATAATTGTCTGTCGAAGTGTGTAAGAGAACACTCAAATCAGCAAAAGTGGGCGCACGGCAGGCAGTCTGAACTCTATCTCCCTGCTGGCTGCTGAGGACCTCGAAAGCGGGCGCAGCAAGTGACAAGTGTTGTTGCCCATGGCTTCAGGTGACCCCTCCCCGGGTTTCCCCACAACGGGATGAAATCCTGCAGCAGCACATTTTTGAAAACCGTTGGATTTGCTCCCAGGAGAAAACACCTTGGTCTGCCGAAGAAATCCAGGGAGCATTCAGAACCTCGTGGATTCAGAAGGGGGTTTCGCAGCTGAAGGACCTCTGGAGCACAAACACTG